GAGAGAGAGAGAGAGAGAGAGAGAGAGAGAGAGAGAGAGAGAGAGCAGCCTCTCGAGCATATGCTGGCTCGGGCTCTTCTCCGTTCTTTTAGTGAGTGAAACCGCGTCTACACACATTACCCAACACAATAAGCACATGCACTCACATCTCACTCACGTGTCACTCACATGTCACTCACATGCACGCACATGTCACTCACATGCACGCACACACGCACACGCACGAATGCACGCGCACAGACAAACTCACAGTCCGTGCAACAGAGACAAGATCTCTCACACACATGCACCGAAGAGTTGTTGGTTCCAAGGTGGGCAGAGGGAGGAAGGTAATGGTATCAGCAACGCTTTTTCAGTGTAACTGTAGGCATGGGGGAGGGAGGCTGTCGGCTGTGTTCTACATACCTATATCTACATACCTATATTTGTGCTCCAATAGATCTTAGTCTTGTTGTCTTTGGTGGGTGCTTAGCGCAGATCGGACCAGACAGTCTGTGACGTTTTGCGCAACCTTGAAGCTCCGTGTGGTTGGTAATCTGCCTGCCCAACCTTGAAGTGCTCAAGGCGTCAATTGACCGATCATATCCGACCTTGAGGAGGGCAGTGGTTGGTCTCCACTTGCGACTGTGCTAGAGGCAGATTACTGCGTTTGTTTGTATCGATTTACTGGATTTTAGAGTTCCATTACGCAGGAGTGTTCTGCGGGTAATCGACTGTCAAATCTTCCTCCTCATGAGTGAGTGAGCGTCGGACGAATCAGGATGCCACAGCCCCTCTCCCCCCCCTTCCCCCCCCTTCCCCCCCGCTTCTATGATTGCATATCGGCGTATCGTCCCTCGCCAATGCGCTCGCCTCTGGACTTGCATTGCATTAGCCGAGTAGTAGTAGCGGATACAAGAGGGGATGTTGTTGGGGATAGGGCGCGCGCGCGCGCGCGAGAGAGAGAGAGAGAGAGAGAGAGAGAGAGAGAGGGACTGAGCGAGTTTTGTGTGGCCCTACTTTGGCTTGGTGTGTGTGTGTGTGTGTGTGTGTGTGTGTGTGTGTGAGAGAGAGAGAGAGAGAGAGAGAGAGAGAGAGAGAGAGAGAGAGAGAGAGAGAGAGGGACTGAGCGAGTTTTGTGTGGCCCTATTTTGGCTTGGTGTGTGCATAAGGACTGGTCGGCGGTTTGTCTCCTCGACAGTAGTCGCTTCCTCGTCTTCCTCCGCCTTTTCTCTTGGATGTTTGTGGAATGTCCTTTCAGTAGCTAGGATTATCCTGGATGCAGCTGACCAGAAATATGACCAGGTTCGGGCCAAAGAGTCCTAGTGTGAGAATGCACGAGTCTGTCTGCGATGTGAGACGTCTGCGCCGCTGCCTGTGTTTCGCGGTTTTTCTACTCTGTCTGTCTGATTCGCGTCTGCTGCGTGTGTGACTGTTTTCGACAGCTGCGTGATCGACTGCTCTCTTCGGTAGCTGTCTCTTATACACATCTAGATGTGTATAAGAGACAGGTCCTAGTGTGAGAATGCACGAGTCTGTCTGCGATGTGAGACGTCTGCGCCGCTGCCTGTGTTTCGCGGTTTTTCTACTCTGTCTGTCTGATTCGCGTCTGCTGCGTGTGTGACTGTTTTCGACAGCTGCGTGATCGACTGCTCTCTTCGGTAGTGTCTTGTGTGACCGACTCCTCCCCTTGTTCGAGTGAGGGCTTATCCAACCTGGGACTTTTTGGAGTGAAACCTGGACGTTCTTGCGACTCGATGCATCCAGGTCAACTTGAACTTTCGGTCAAATACATCCAGGAAACTTCTCGAGTGAGTCTGCCCTGACTGCTTTCTGGGCGACTGGTTGAGCTTGATACGCCAACTACCCGTCTACACCCGCATAGAACGCCCGCCCGGTTATTGTAGCTGTATTTGGGCCACCTTTCAGTCGAGATACAGCAATAATGATCGTACGTTGTATTCGGTTGAAGACGGTAGTGGTCTCTGTGTGGGACTATCTGCTGTCAGGGAACTGCTTTGTGTTAGAGTCACGAATTGGTGGGTTTTTTTTTTTTTTTTAAATTTCCTGGTCGATCGGGGGACTTCTTTGTGCTAGAGTCATTGATTGGTGTTTTTTTTCTTTTTATCTGGTTGCTTTGATTGACAAAAAATGTGCAGGGCGAACGAAGTTGAGGGTGCGTCCTCCGCTGTCGTTGCCGCGGCCGCCGCTTTCGTTAGCAGCAGCGGTGTCATCGGTGGCAGCGGATTGGGCTTGAGAGTAGAGGGCGATCTTCTCGGCGGCGGGGGCGGCGGGGGCGGAGGTGTGGTCGCCGGATTCGCGGGTGGGAGGGGGGGTGATTTTCTCGAGACGGAGACATCAAGTCATACAATGACGCCGGGGCTAATTAATCCGAATCCGAAGATTCACGAACGGAAATCTCGCCAAGCAAGACCAGAAGCTTCTGATGAAGATTCTATTGATCGGTTCGACGCGTTTGAAGTGTTCGATATCCTGCTCTGATTTTCTCCTACTCTCCACCATCCATCGTTTTTTTTATTTTTTATTTTTATATTTTTATTTTAACACAACAAGAACGCTATGCAGCCTATGCTCATTATTATTATAATCATAATAAAGGAGAAGGAGACGGGAATTTCTCCACAAACAACCCGGAAAAAAAAAAACCATAACTATGAATTAATAACTGTTGTGAGGGAGTAGTAAAATAAAATCAAACACTTTGCACTAGCCGCATCGTTTGCCTGTTGCTAGACCAAAAGAGAAGAAAACAAATCAAACACTTTCGATTCGAATTAATCTTAAGAAACTGAGGCCGGGGTCCTCTCAGTCTAGCCCGGGTTGACACCTCCCCCCCCCCTCCTTCTTCCTCCCCTCCCGAAAAAACAAAAAAAAAAGAAGTCTTGACCTGGGTAGAAAGCGCATCCTCTTTCGCTTTACTTTCCTGCAGTCAGTCTTTTTCGTTTTTTGCGGAAAGGACCTGTTTTCGATTTCCTTGCGCGGTGAAGGATTTGATTGCTACCTATCGCGCCTGCGTTTCTGCGGTTGTCTTGTCCCGAAAGAGAGGAAGATCACGCTTACCTGTTTAATCGAATGTGACTGATTAATAAAAGAAATGGCGAGCTAATGCATATAAAATATATACTTCCTCTCTTCTTTGCCTCTTTGCCCTTTGGCTGTGTGCAAGTGGGTCGATATGACACACGGGGGTGGGGGCAGCCGCCGCTCGACCTACATCCACGAGGGCGGCCTTGTACGCAAGAGGTTCTGAACAGGGGGAGTTGTAAGGAAGAAGATTAAGAAACGAATTCATTTTTTCTTTTTTTTGTTCTTTTTTTCGCTTTTGCGCTCTGATATTCGTGTGACGATATATATTATAAGGAAGAAGATAAAAAACTGAATTCAGTTTTTCCTGTTTTTCTTCTTTTTTTCGCATTTGCGCTCTGATATTCATGTGACAATATACTGTAGGCAGTAGGGAGAAGAGGACAACAAACGAGGGGCTGTGGCAAACTGTATATATCTAAAAAATAGATATAACTTTATATTCGGAATGATGGGAGGATAGATTTTCGCTTGACAACTCGCTTTCGAATTGATGAAAAAAAGTTTTATCTTGCGCAAAACATAAATGTAGTTATGAAAAAAGGACCGCACCTTGTTTGCCCGGGCGGCCCGGCCGTGCAAGGACCAAAGAAGGTAATCTGAAAGAAAACTATGTTATGCAGAAAAATAAACTTTCAGCCTGGATTCCCCCTGATCTTCTCTTCTTGCCGTTCGTATATGGCGACTACTTCCTCTTTTCTTCTGTAGAACGCGCTCCTGGTTGGTTATACTATGTCTTGCTCGATGAACTATATATACATGTATATATCTGTATGATTCCGCACTGTGATGAACGTCCTGCTGTGTTTTTGACGTGTGGACAACATGTCCTCTGTCAGGACTGTTTTGATGGGATGGTTCGTGCTAGCCGTCCTGCAGAATGCTGTGCTGGCGCAGCTCTCCTTGGGCA